TTTGCAGCCAGGAAGGGCAGAGGACTCCTGGAGAAAGCCCAGGGCACTGCGACCACATGAGTAGCAGACACCTGGGCAGCCTGCTCCTATCCGAGGAGCAGCAGACCTTTGAGCAGCCTGCCCCAGGTTGAAAGGAGCAGGCTCTCGTGGCCTGCCCCTGTCCAAGGAGCAGCAGCTATGTAAATGGCCCACACCCCATCCGAGGAACAGCAACCACACTAGCAGCCCGACCCTGTCTGAGGAGCAACAGCCACATGAGCACCCTGTAAATGACTGAGATCCCTTTCAAGCCCCATTGGATGGGGGCATGGCCTGAGGTCCCCTGACAAACCCTGCCAGGCAGTGGGGCGCAGCCTCAGGTTCCCAGGCCTGGCACCGGGAGGGGGTTGTAGCCTCAGGTCCCCTGTCAAACCCACTTAGTGGAGGGCGTGGCCTGAGTTCCCCTGACCTAGCACAAGGGGTGCACCTTGAAGTCCCCTGTCAACCCCTGGGTGGGGGGCATGGCCTAAGGTCCCCAGTCAAGCCCAGCCAGGCAGGGGGGGTGCAGCCTCAGGTCCCCTGGCCCAGTGCTGGGGAGGAGGATGCATTCTGAGGTCCCCCGGCCTGGTGCCAGGGTGGGGACTGTAGCCTGAAGTCCCCTGTCAAGCCCCAATTGGTGGGGAGTGCAGAGAGGTCCCCCGGCCTAGCGCTGGGGCGGGGGGACAGTCTGAGGTCCCCTAGCCCAGCACCAGGACAGGAAGTGCACCTTGAGATCCCCCGTCAAGCCCCGCTGGGCGGGAGGCATGGGCTCAGGTCCCCTGGCCTGGCACCAGGGCAGGGGGAATGGCCTGAGGTCCCCTGCCAAGCCCCATGGGGGCGGCAGAGGGCATAGCCTCAGGTCCCTGCTGATTGCTCATTAAGACTCCTTATGCCATAAGGCTTATGGGAACTTGGCTTCAGCTGTGGGTGCAGCCATGTTTGTGACAGAGTGATGGTCAATTTGCATATTCCCTCTGTATTAGATAGGATAAACTACAATAAAAACAATCCAAAAAAATGCAAACACTTGGAAGCTAAATAGCATGCTATTGAACAATGATTGGGTTACAAAGAGATCAAAGAAGAAATTAAAACCACCCTGGAAACTAATGACAATAAAAACACAACAATCCAAAATCTATGGGACACAATTAAAGCAGTCCTGAGAAGGAAGTTTATAGCTAAAACAAACAAATAAAAACAAACAAAAAAAAAACAACAAGAAAAAATTATAGTAAATCATCTCTCCACAACTTAAAGAATTAGAAAGAGCAACAAGAAAAGCCCACAGTGAACAGAAGGAAGGAAATTATAAAGATCAGAGCAAAAATAAATGACATAGAGACAAAAAAATCAATACAAAAGATAAATGAAACCAAGAGCTGGTTCTTTGAAAGAATAAACAAGATTGATGAACCTCTAGCCAGGATCACCGAGAAGCAAAGAGAGAGTACCAAAATAAACAAAATCAGAAATGAAAGAGGCAAAATAACAACAGACCCCACAGAAATACAAAGGATTGATAAAAATATCATGAGCAACTCTATTCCAACAAACTAGACAACCTGGAGGAAATGGATATATTCCTAGAAAAATACAACCTTCCAAAACTCAATCAGGAAGAATCTAAAAATCTCAATAGGCTGATAATTGTGGGAAAAAATTGAAGCAGTCATCAAAAAGCTTGCAGCAAACAAAAGCCTGAGGCTAGACAGCTTCACAGGGGAGTTTTACCAAACATTCAAGGAAGAACTAAAACCTATCCTCCTCAGAATATTCAAAAAAATTCAAGAGGAAGGAACACTTCCAAACTCCTTCTATGAAGCCAGCATAACCCTAATACCAAAACCAGATAAAGACAACTCAATGAAAGAGAATTACCTAAGATTTGGAAACAGCCTAAGTGCCCATCAGCAGATGAGTGGATTAAAAAACCTTGGTACATCTACACAATGGAATACTATGCTGCAGTAAAAAAGAAGGAATTCTTACCATTTGCAACAGCATGGATGGAACTGGAGAGCATTATGCTAAGTGAAATAAGCCAGGCAGAGAAAGATAAATATCACATGATCTCACTCATTTATGGAATATAATGAGCAACATAAACTGATGAACAAAAATAGAACCAGAGTCATAGAAGTATTGATCAGACCATCAAACCTCAGAGGGAAGGTAGGGGAGAGTGGGGATAAGGGGGAAGAGATCAACCAAAGGACTTGTATGCATGCATATAAGCCTAACCAATGGACACAGACACCGGGGGGGGCGGGAGGGGGGAGGGCATGAGTGGGGGGGATGAGAGGGACAATGGGAGGATAAGGACACATATGTAATACCTTAATCAATAAAGAAAAAAGATATTACCTTGTAAGCACATGTAATAAATAACTTCAAAATGCAATGGGTATTTAATTTTAAGATGTGCCTTTAACATGTATATAAAACATTGTGTAATTTGAAAACACAAGAATGCTCGTGATCCGCCCACAGTGTGTTAACCCATGTTGGTGAGTATCATAATGATTTATAGTGGTGTACTAACTTACTGTCTGTGTGGGTAGATAAGCATGGTAATTTATCCTGTGGACAAATGAAGATCACAGGGTCAATGCTATTCAAATCTGTGAAGTCAGTGAAGCTTTTTCTTCATTAGCCCCATTTTTCTTCATGATCTACCTTTTGTCCCATTGATGGTGTCCATTTTTCCAGTTCAGGCTTTAAGTATCTTCTCACCTTCTGCTAACCAGCTCCCTCTCTGATGCCTTGACTGAAGCAGGATAGTGTTCTAAGAAGAGCATGGGCTTGGCCTGATCTTAGTTTAAATTCCATCTCTGTTTCTTACCAGCCTGGTAAATTTGGGGAAACCACTCTCCCTCTTTGAGCCTCTGATTCTTCATGTACAAAATGGGTCTAATAAATGCCGTCTATCAGATAAAGCTGTGATGAAGAATGAAACAAGGTCATGTGTATAAAATGTCTACCATAGTGAGCATCACATAAGAAACATTCAGCACTTAGTAGCTATCACTGTCACCAATATCATTATTTGAATGAATAGGACTGACCAGGACTAGCCTGTGTCTGGTAGGAGTCAGCATTCTACTTAGCGAGAAGGAGTAAAGTTATGAGGGTCAGAACTGGAAAAGTGTGTGGAAACGCTGGGGGTCAGAGAGAGTGGACAGGTTATGAAACAGAGACATATTGGCAAGGCATCTGAACTTCAAGCATGGCCTGAGGGTTTATGGTTAGGAAGTTGGTTTGGAGTACATGGTCTTGGGGCTGAGAGCCGAAAAGGCAAAACAAAAACAAAAAAAAAAACCCTCACAGAATTGATCAAAGAGCCCAATGAGACCATGAGTCTGGAGTATTTTAGGAAAAGTGGCTTGATTAAAAAGAGTGCACAGGGTGAATGAGGCAGGCAAGCAGACCTCCATGCCCACCATGAGGTATAGTTGAGGCGGAATACATACTTCCACATATAACTTTATCAAGTCCCCCAAATCTACTGAAATTACTAGAAAACTACATTTGACAAGACTGAAAAAGCAGGAAAGGAAATAGATGAGGAGTAATGAACTGAGCAGACCCCGGAAGGCCACAAACTGGGGATCCTAAGCCCTAAGTAAGAAAAGCCCCAAACCAGCCAGATTTACTACTGCTCTTCTGCCCCCTCCCCAGAAGAATCTTCAAAAGCTGCAAAGGGTAACTCAGAAAGTGGAGGTGAAGGGGGTGGGCACCAAAGCAATGAGGGTGAAAACTGTTTAAGAACTGGAAGCATTTCCAACCCCCTTCCTGCACTATAAAACAAATACATTGTTTGGCATCCAAATGCAAAGTGTTTGTGAATTAAAGGACTCTACCTAGAAAGGGAAAGGACAACCTCCAGAATGGGAGAGACATTTGCAAATCATATGTCTGATAAGGGCCTACTTTCCCAAGCGCATCAAGAATCTTAAGACTCAGCACCAGAAAGACAAGCAGCCCAGTTGTGGGAAATGGACAAAGGAGTTGAAAGCACACCTGCTGTGCAGGAAGCAGATGTAGGAATGACCAAGAGGCCCAAGATAGAGTGATCAACATCACTCCCCATCAGGGAAATGCAAATCAACACCATGAGATACCACTTCACACCCCCTGGGGTGGCCATTAGAAGCAAAACAAGAGGAGAATAAGTTTTGAGGAGGATGTGGAGAAATTGGGGCCCTCAGACACTGCTGTGGGGAGTGCACAATGGAACAGTCACTATGGAAATCAGTGGGGCGGTTCCTCAGTACCTGAACATGGAATTACCATATGGCCTGGCAACTCCACTCCCAGATGTACACCCAGAAGAGCTGAAGACAGATGTTCAAACAGAACCGTGTGCAGGAATGTTCACCGCTGTGCTAGTCACAACTGCCAGGAGGTGGAAATTCCCCAAACACCCATCCACCGAGGAACCGATGCACAGTATGCAGTCCACCCACACAATGGAATACTTTTCAGCCAGGAAAAGGGAATGGAGGGCTGATCCATGCCACCACCTGGGTGAACCATAATGAGACCGTTATGTTAAGTGAAAGTAGGCAGACACAAAAGCCACCTATTATCTAAGATTATATCTCTAGAAATTTCCAGAATAGACAAGCCTCAATGGACAGGAAGCAGATTCATAGTTGCCCAGGGTCTAGGGGAGAAGTAGAAGGGGTATTGGGCTGGATAGAGGGGGAGGGCAGTGGGAAGTGACTGCCTGATTGGGTACAGGGTTTCTTTTGGGGGCAGTTCCAACATTTTGGAAGTAGATAGTTGTGTTGGCTATTGAACATCACTAGTTATGCCTGGTGCCACTGCAGTGCTTTTTCTGTAGAACATTCCTGTCCAGTAGACAGTGGACCTCATAGAGAAGGACCCATGGGCAAGGGTGCATAGAAAGCTGCCAGCATCCCTTCTCTGCAGGCTCAGGCCGAGGCCCAGGCTCGGGCCCAGGCTCGGGCCCAGGCTCGGGCCCAGGCCTGGGCCAATGGGAAGGCAGTGACCTCACCGAACTTATGTATCACACAGCCTGTCCCTGGACCAATGGGGGGCCGGCCCGTGGTCGCTAGGAGACAGAGCAGGAGCCGCTGTACCCGCCATTTTGAGCGGTTGCGACCAACTGGTACCTTCTTGACCGGCCTGAGCCGCACCTTACCACGCCACAGCCCACCGCAGCGCTAGACGGGGCGGAGACAGCGCACCCCAGCGATACCATGTCCGGGCAGAGGAGCCGGGAAGGGCCCTCTGATCACCAGAGGCGCAGACGCACCCGCAGCCGCACCGCCAGAGCGGACCTGACCTTCTCGGTGAGCCAGCTGGAGCGCCGCCTGCTGGACGGCCACTACTCGCAGCGCCTCAGCGCCAACGCGCCCGTGTTCCTGGCGGCCATCATCCAGGACCTGACGGCCACCGTCCTGGAGCTGGCGGGCAACGAGGCCCAGAAGATGGGCTGCCGACGCATCACCCCGCAGCTGCTGGACATGGCGATCCACAACAACGCGCTGCTCAGCGGCTTCTTCGACAACATCACCATCTCCGTCATGAGCCCGGGAATGCAGTAGCTTCCCAACATGACCCGGGGGCCCAGGCCTCCACCCCTCACAGCCCAGGCGGCCCGGGCCTGCTGGCGCCTTGGGCACAGTTATTGAAAGTTATTTTAAATAAATAAAGTATTGAAGGAAACCCATGTGCCTGCTTCAGTCACTGTGTGGGGGGGTTGGAGGGATGGGGCTTGGTGGTGTGTCCCTGGGAGCTGGGGCAGAGTTGGGATGACAAGGGAGGAGCAGCCCCTCATGGTGACAGTGCAGGGTGGTCCAGGGCCGGAGAGGCCGGCTGGGGTGGGGTGGACTGGGGTATGGAAACCTCCCCATCCCCTCTGAGCAAGTCAGAGCCTGGCAGTGCCCCCAGGAGGCTGGTGTTCGCTGGGGTGGAGCTCAAGACCATGACTCAGGCCTTGTGATGGGGTGAGGGGGCCATGCCAACCCGCATGCAGAAAGAAGGGGTGGGCGGAGTGGTTGGCATGGACTCCACAAGGCCTTTGACGGGAAGATCGAGGAGTGATGGCGGTGGGGATATTGGACAAGCAATAAAAATGCAAAATGGGAATGAAGGTCATGAAGGGTCGGGAGTTTTTTTGGTCCTGTTCCCTTAGAGATTCTAGGAGACTCACTGAGGAACCTGGGTAAACAAACGGTCACCTAGCAACAGTGGGTGCCTGGCCAGGGCTGACCCTGGATTCTCTATTTGCATATGCTGCTTGCTCCAGGCAAGGTCTGGCCCCTCAACAGTTTTGCATGGGAAGTGTGCCCCTGGAAAGGCTTTCCCCCAAGCCCCTAGTGGGTGTGTGTAACCTGTTTTCAACCAGGTTTTTCATCAAATCACTTCAGAAGGGGGTCTTTGTTTCTGAAAGCTAGATTCATAACTGACTCTGAATATAATAATACTTCCTTTTGCCCTATGTAGTTTGATGTTGATTATGCCTACTGCTTCTCTGCCAGCGTACTAGTCTTTCACTGAACTGAACTGCACGATATATTGCCACCAATGAGAGACTGTCGCAGCCCATCCAATGAAAACCCACTACACTTCCAACTCCCAAATTCCTCCAATGGGCCCTATTTATTTATTTATTTATTTATTTTTTAAATAAATTTTTATTGTTCATATTATTACAAATGTTCCTTTCCCCCCCCCCCCAACCATTGCTCTCCTCCACCAGGTTCCCACCCCACCCTCTGCCCTTTCCCCACTCCCCATTGTCTTCATCCATAGGTGCACAGTTTATGTTCAGTCTCTTCCCACATCCCCCTCTCCCCTTTTCCCCAAGAATCGTCAGTTCACTCCCCTTCCATACCTCTAATTGTATTATATTCAACAGTTAATATTGTTCATCAGATTTTTTTTTTTTTTTAGTTTCCTTGGTTTTTAGACTCACTTGTTGATAGTTACGTATTTGTTGTTCATAATTTTTATCTTTATTTACTTTCTCTTCTGAAAGAACCCCCTTCAGCAATTCCTATAATTCTGGTTTGGTGGTGATGAACTCCTTTAGCTTTTTTTTTTATTAGTGAAGTTTTTTATCTGGCCTTTGATTCTGAGTGATAGCTTTGCTGGGTAGATTATCTTTGGCTGTAGGTTCTTACTATTCATCACCTTGAATATTTCTTGCCATTCCCGTCTGGCCTGCATGGTTTCTGTTGAGAAATCAGCTGACAATCGTATAGGTGCTCCTTTATAGGTAACTACCTTCTTTGCTCTTGCTGCTTTTAATATTCTCTCTTTGTCTTTTGCTCTTGGAATTTTAATTATGATTTGTCTTGGTGTGGTCTTCTTTGGATTCCTTTTGTTTGGAGTTCTGTGCGCTTCCTGGACTTGTAAGTCTAATTCTTTCACCAGGTGGGGGAAGTTTTCTGTCACTATTTCTTTCAGTATGTTTTCGATATCTTGCTCTCTCTCATCTTCTGGGACCCCCATAATTCTGATGTTGGTTCGCTTGAAGTTGTCCCAGAGGTTTCTTACATTATCTTCAATTTTCTGGATTCTCTTGCCTTCTAGCTTCTGTGGAGGAGTGTCTTCTGGCTCTTTATGTTCCAAATCTTTGACTTGATTCTTGCGATCTTCCATTCTGTTTTTAGGATTCTGTATAATATTTTTTATTTCAGACAATGTATTCTTTATTTCTTGTTGATCCCTTAACATTTCTTGTTGATTCCTTATTAATTCTAGTTGATTTCTTTTCATATCCTCATAGGTCTTATTGATCTTTTCTAGGAAATTCTTGAAAAACCTTATAAGCGTAAGATTTGAATTCTATATCCAGTCGCTTTTTGTCCTCCATTTCTTTCATTTGTGATGTATTTCATTGTCTCGGCATTTTTGTAGCTTCCCTGATGGGGTGGAGATTCAGGGTGGAGCCTACAGGCTTGGCTTCTGTCAGCCCCGCCCTATGCGGCTCCTGAGTTTCAGGGTCCTTCAGTACTGGCTGCAAGCGCCTCTGAGAGAAAGGTGTCCTCGATTTTCGCCTGCTACCAGTCTAGGCTCTCCCCCAATGAGCCCGGTATTGGGGTTCAGTTCAGTTGGAAATAGAGTTGGAGGTGGAGTTCAGAGCAGTCTGGAGCCCCTGTCTCCTTCCTGCCAGGGCAATCCCGCGGCACAGCCAACCGTCCCTTCTCTCCGTGCAGTGTGCGAGCTTCCGGGACCTCCTTTCGCCGCTCCCCTGGGGTTCCGCCTTACAGCCCAGCTCCCTCTGTTTGAGCCTGGGTCCCCGGGGTCTGGCCTAGAACTGGGGTTCAGAGCATCGGAACTGGGACCCAGCACAGTCGGAGCTTTAATCTCCTTCCCACTAGGGAACGCCCGCCAGGCACTCAGCTGCCCTCCTATCCGGCTCCGTCCTCTCCGCGCGCCGCGTGTCTCTGTACCTTAGGCTTTTCCAGCTCCTCTGCGCTTCCTTCTGGTTTTCTCCTTGCTTCTTGTTGTAGAATTTCCAGTCAGTCGACTTTTCTGTAGTTCTGGGTAATGTCCATTTTATATTTTAGTTGTATTTTATTGAAATTGTTGTGTGCAGCTGTGGCTAGGTGTTTACCTGGGCAGCCATCTTGGATTCTCCCAATGGACCCTATTTATAACAGCCTTTCCCAGCTACCCCCATTCCTCTATAAAGAGACCTGGCGAAACCGGTTTGGCTCAGTGGTAGAGCGTTGGTCTGCGGATTGAAGGGTCCCAGGTTCGATTCCGGTCAAGGGCATGTACCTTGGTTGTGGGCACATCCCCAGTAGGGGGTGTGCAAGAGGCATCTGATCGATGACTCTTTCTCATCGATGTTTCTAGCTCTCTATCCCTCTCCCTTCCTCTCTGTAAAAAATCAATAAAATTTATTTTAAAAAAAGAAAAAGAAACAGTTCCTCTCCTTTGTTCTCTGCACTTGCCTAATGTTTTGCCATAGTTTGTCCTCAATTGCAATTCTTTGCCATTCCCCCAATGAGCCCATTTTTGTTGGTAAAATAACTAACTTAGCCGAAACCGGTTTGGCTCAATGGATAGAGCGTCGGCTTGGAGACTGAAAGGTCCCGGGTTCGATTCCGGTCAAGAGCATGTACCTCGGTTGTGGGCATATCCCCAGTAGGGGGTGTGCAAGAGGCAGCTGATTGATGACTCTCTCTCATCGATGTTTCTGACTCTCTATCTCTCTCCCTTCCTCTCTGTACAAAATCAATAAAATATATATTTTTAAAAATAACTAACTTAACTGACTGTTGTGTTTTTGTTCAATAGAGTCATGGATACATTTCTGCACGAACATAAATTTTCATTTCTCTAGGGTAAATACCCAAGAGTTGGACTACTGGATCATATGAAAAGATTTCTCAAGCCCCTGCCCAATTAGCCTCATCCTCATACCCTAGAGGCAACCAATGTTCCTATTTTTAAGACCACATCATAATTTGGCCTGTTCTAGAACTTCAGATTCATGGATTCATACATAAATATATTTTATTGATTTTTCACAGAGAGGTATTGAGAGGGATAGAGAGTCAGAAACATCAATGAGAAAGAATCATCGATCAGCTGCCTCTTGCACACCCCCTACTGGGGATGTGCCCGCAACCAAGGTACATGCCCTTGCCCGGAATTGAACCCAGGAACCTTCAGTCCGCAGGCCGACGCTCTATCCACTGAGCCAAACCGGTCCCGGCAAGTGAAGCCTCTTTTGAGATCCACCCATGTTGTTGTGTGTATCAAGGATTCATTCTTTTTTCTCACTTGGTGTTATTTCGCTATATTGATAAATCACGCTTTAGTTATGCATTCAAATGATGATGGACATCTGGCCTGTTTTCAGTTTTGATTATGAAAAAAGCTGCCGCCAACATTTGTGTTCAAGTTTTTGTGTACATGTATGTTTCATTTCCCTTTGGGTAATTCCCAAAAGCGGAAGGAAGTGTTAGTGTTAGGTGTATATTGATAAACTGGTTTCAAAAGTGTACCTATAAGGGGTCAATGGAGGCGGGGGTAGGGGACATATGTAATACTTTCAACAATAAATATTTTTTTAAAAAGTGTATCATTTTGCATTCCCACTATGTTTGAGGGTCCTAGTTCTTCCATACCTTGCCAGCATTTGATCTTGTCAGCAAGTTAGTTTTAGCAATTCTAATAAATGTATAGTGATATCCTATTGTGGTTTTAATTTGCAATTACCTAATGACTAAAGATGTTGAGCAGGCTCCATCCCCAGTAGGGGCGTGCAGGAGGCAGCCGATCCATGATTCTCTCTCATCATGGATGTTTCTATCTCTCTCTCCCTCTCCCTTCCTCTCTGAAATCAATAAAAATATATTTTAAAAAAGAATAAACTCAAGCCGAAACCGGTTTGGCTCAGTGGATAGAGCGTCGGCCTGCAGACTGAAAGGTCCCCGGTTCGATTCCGGTCAAGGGCATGTACCTTGGTTGCGGGCACATCCCCGGTAGGGGGTGTGCAAGAGGCAGCTGGTCAATGTTTCTCTCTCATTGATGTTTCTAACTATCCCTCTCTCTTCCTCTCTGTGAAAAAATCAATAAAATGTATTTTAAAAAAAGAATAAACTCAAAATGGATTAAAAGTTTAAGTGTAAAATGCAAAATCATAAAAAAAATCCTAGAAGAAAA